TTTTCCGACTTTTTTTTTTTAATTGCAAAAAACAGTTTCAGAATTTTTTCTTAAGTCAAGATTTTCACTTGTACCTTCCAAGGCCTGGAGTTCTGTTAAAACATGCAGGGAGATTCAAGTTTGGAGGTGGGGGAGGCAGTGAGACGTTATCTTCTCTGGGCTCGTTCTTTTGTGAAGCCGGAGATTACAGAAAAGAGACCTGGGAAAGAGGACAGCTGGCCTTCGCTCTAAGGAGACGAAGGGTCTCTGGGCAGGATCTGGAGGCTGAATGGAACTCACCAACCCTTTCAGTTACTCTGGTTATCCTCCATGCTGAGATCTGGTAAGCAAGCGCTTCTGCCTGACGCTCCCATGGATAACTCATCACCGACGAGGGGGACACACCAGCAGATGGCTAGATACGCATTTTTAAGAAGCCTGTCCTTAATTTAAAACTTCTCCTTTATACACACGAAACCTTAGTACTTCCATGTTTTGTCATCTTATCAAGAAATCCGTTGTTGGCAGAAGAAATAATAAGGCCAAATGATTGTGAATTTCTCTCTGACTAGGACGGGCCACAGGAGTTTGGTTGCCCATGTCGCCCACTCCCATTAATACTACACCGTGCCTGGCAGGGCTGAAACTCACGTCAGGGAATATTAGAGTCATAACAACCTCTTGGCAAGGCAAACTTTCATCTCAGTTAAGATGGATTTCCACGAATGCTGTGGAGGAATTACAGTTTAGAATCCCTTGAAGTGCCCAGAGCAGACCAGAAAAGGCCAAAAGAGCGCGACAGAAAACCTCAATTTATTATTTCTCGGGGTGTAGGCACTTGGTCCTCTTTATTTTAATTTTGTCCCTGAGAATGTGGGTGCATGTATGGTGGGAGCTGGCATGTGCGGTGTAAGTCTTTTACAGCTCAGTTCTGGACCTGTAGCTCTGGACCTAAAAACTATCTTGAGACAAGGTGGCCAAAGATGAACACAGGTGTCTACTGTTTCCGGAATCAGGTGAGAAAAAAAAAAAAAAAAAAAACACAGTTCTGATCTTTGCCTCCTGAGAACAAAGTAAAATTTTAAGACAGTGAGTTCGCAGGGCGATACATAAAAGCGCATTCTAGGACAGCAGGGCCGGTCTGCGTCACGGCTGCTCAGTCCCCGCAGCTCAATGAGAGGGCAGAAATAGAGACGATTTCTGGAAGACACATTTAACACATGACCTTCAAGTCAAACGGATCCACACATCGTGCCTAAATGACAAGGACGTGGGAACACCAAGGACCTGAACACTCCGTTTCCAGACTAACAGAAACTATGTTTAGATATGTCTTCGTCAAAGCAAAATGGTGTAAAAACACTCCATATAAGAAAGAGAGCGAGAAACACAGTAGCCCGGAGACGAACATTTCAGTCTGGAAGAAGACACGGCAGGCAATGGAAAGAGACCTTTTGCTTGGAAGTGCTAGGTGGTGGCTCAGACAAACAAACTTTAAGATAAGGAATCAGAGTATAGAACCAATAGGCCAAGTGCATGGAGGGGCTAGATCCAGGGCTAGCCAGGGCTTCTCTGCAAGTAACACGTGACCGGAGAGAGAGAGGGGCAGAACCAGTGGGGCAGGAAAGGATTTCTGACCAACGAAGTCGTGGATTGAGGGAATTAGATGCTGATGAAATATTAGAGAAAGGCCACAGTAGAAGAAGAATGTCTTGAAACAGAGGACAAGCTGTTCTTCGTTCAGTGGGCCAGGCCATGCTGCAGGGAATGTTTCTGAACAATAAGCCCCAGAGCTAGTCTTTTCATGCCAAGTTACCCGAAGATTCGATACAATTGAAGGTTGCTTGTGGCAAGTCATCGCCCCCTCAGGTGTCTTCATTTAAGACCATTTCAGTACCAAGATGGCCCAGTACCACCGAGTTATGAGGGCAGCAAAGTGTGGCCTGCAGAGCCTTCTAGTTGCTGAGTAAAAGCCACGGGGAAAGTCTTTGGAGTACAGAGAATCCGGTAACAGTAAATGTTTAGAAATTACCTTACAGTGAAGAAATACAAACAAACCAGACAAGCAAAATGAAGAATTTAGACATGAAAGGTAGATTGACAGCATCACAATTATTTAAACACAGAAACAAATGTGGAGACCTGTAGGCAAGCTCAAAATGACGTGCTCCAAACCCAGGTCGCCACAGGAACCATCAGTTAAGGACGACAAAATAAGGCACAGCTCCTGAGAGCTCCCAAGGGAAGACCCGGGGCAAAGAGGGACAGACGGGCGGGGTGTCTCAGGATTTGGGGTCAAGAAATCACGAAGCTGAAACATACGTAGGCTATTTCAAGTTATAAAGATAATCACTAGAGTCACACTGCAGATTCTGAGCCACAAAAATCAACAAGAAAGGAAAACATACATTACTCTGCACAAAAGGAAAACTGAATAAGAAGAAGCCAAACCAACGAGCAACACCAAGAGTAATAAAATCATCTACAAACCCCAGGTAACTATGATGCTGAAGAAGCCTGCCTGTATGATCAGCACATGCCTCTCAGTAGGACAACACCTCACACGTCGTTGGGGACAGAGCAGCTTTGTGTTGGACAGTGAGAGCTGCAACCGCATCAGAGGTCCATACAAACCGGAAGTGGAAAGGGGGAGAACAAAAATGACTGGGAAATTCCAAGTTTTCCTCTCAGCTCTTGGGAATGTCATTAAGTAAAATTGAAATTATTAAACATCTAGAAAAGCAGCTAAAAGCTAGTCATGAAAAAGCACATTTGGAAATGGGATCAAAGCTACAGCGAGAATCCCCTTTGTCACCTTTATTCCTCTCGTCTCTGTTTGACAAACATCTCATCTACCAGCACCCATGGATTCTTCCTCCAAGATGTCTCCCCCTTCTTCCCTCTTGAAGCCACTCCATCCCAAGCCATGCTCACCCTGGTTTGTTTGGCCACTTGGGAAAGCTTATGCTGGTGGCTTTGTTTTCACATGTCTGTCTGTAATGACTTCTCCATATGAAAGTCGAACGTGTTTTAAAAATGTAAATAAAGACATGCGTGCTTCAGGCCCTCCCTCCCCTGGTTCCCTTCATGTTTTATCTCAGTGGCTCCATCTCCTGCCATCCTCTACCACTTACTTGGTTCCGTTTTTCTCTAGCCTTTCAACTGCAGCGGGATATCACGGCACGTTTTCAAAGCCATTTTGTTTCCTGTTTTTCCCATTGGAATTCTGTGTTCCAAGGAATTCAAGGGTGGTTTAACTTCAAAAACCTTACTCACAAACGTGTCTGTTCACTAGGAGACACTTTGTAAAATTTAAAGTCTCAACATAGAGAATATGGTAGATATAACTAAATGCTCACACCTTATTAAGAAAGAAAATGCTGCCAATGGAGGAAGAAAATCAGACTTATGTAGCTTATCTAGTTAAAGACAAACAAACAAAAAACCCAGACCTAAGCAAATGTTATATCTGATGATGAGACAGTCTTCCTCAGCTGGGAAAACAGAGCTTCAGTTGGCTTACTAAGTATTGCGGTCTTAACACGGCAAAAAGAAGATTATACAATTATTTCCACAGAAAGAGATCCTATAAACAGCATCCCGGGACTTGCTATGGGCTAAGAGCTGTGTTATCCTATCCCACAGCGGAATTACTCTTCCTGTCCCACAGACTGACTGCATCAGCCAGCACACCTGGTTGTGGGGAGGCAGCTATAGCAAGATTACGAGAGTGTGGTGTGGCCTCAGTCAATAACAGTAAGATGGGGACACAGCATTGCCATTCTCTCCCTCCTGGCTGTGCACAGACCCCGCATAAGGACCAGCATCTGAAAGTCAATGTTCCCTCCTCTGAAGTCAACCCTGGTAGACCGGATCAGGGACTTGAAGCATTGAGAACTCTGAGGAAAAAGCTGCTATTTAAATCTCTCCGTCTGTTTTAGTTGACAGTTTAAGAAGACTGAGGAGCTCGATAAGAATTCAACAAGATTGGTTGAGATAGTCAATATTTAAAAATCAGCTGTGTTCCATAAACTGAGAACATTAAGAATATGCCATGTGGTGTCAACAAAACCATAATATAATTAGGCATAAACATGCAAAATATGAGTAAAACTACGACAGAAGATACAATTTTAAATCTAAAGATAAATTTTAAATGAGAATTTAGAAGATACTCATCAACTGAAAGACTTGATTCAGACAAAAAAGAGACAGTCTGCACTGAAGAGAAAAGGAGAAAAGACAGTTTTCAAGAGAATGAAGAAGATAGGGGATTTGAGCTTTCACGTTATGATTCATGATTTATCTATTATAATTAGTGCTATGGTAATGGGATGATAGGTAGGTTGATGGGACACACCAGGCAGATCACACATGTCTTATGAAGGATGGATTTCTCCTCCTTGCTTTTTTCTTTTCTCCTTTCTTTTTTCTTTTCTCCTTTCTTTTTTCTTTTTTTCCTTCCTTTCTTTCATTCTTTTTCTTTGTGGGGAGGAGTGAGTTTAAGACAGCATTTCTCTATGTAGCCCTGGAGCCTGTCCTGGAACTCCTCTGTAGACCAGGCTGGCCTTGAACTCATAGACCCACTTGCCTTTACCTCCCAAGTGCTGGGATTAAAGGCATATATTACCACCACCCGGTCGAAGGATGCACTTCACAAAAATAGAATTAGGAGAATGGCTGGTTATAGACAAGAAAGAGAATAGCATTTGGCTACCTACCTCTATATTTCTTTATATAAGACATAGAAACAACATGGTTAAAACAAAATTTTAAAATATTTGGTCTGCACACGGTAGTGTATGTTTTTAACCCCAACAGAAGTAAATGAATCTCTGTGAGTTCACAACCAGTCAAGACTAGTCTGCATAGCAAGTACTAAGTCAGCCAGGGTACAGAGTGAGACCCCATTTCAAATGACTCAAAGCAAAAAAGAAAAAAAGAATCAAAATCACATTTTCAGATAAGGTAGGAGAATATATTTTTGATATGATAGAAATGGGTATTCTTTTTTTTTCATCTCAAACAGATCTATTTTTAAAGAAAAGGCCTAAGAGAGGAAAAAATGGGGTATAGAAGTATGGCCTAGAAAATAAATACAAATGTAAGCTATTTTACTAATTATTTTATAACCACAAACTCATACAGAAGATGATGCTCCACACAAAACACAACAGATTCAAACGAGGTGTTCCCTTAGCAAAGCTAAAGAGTCAGTCTTTAGCTTGAAATTTAGGATGCAGTCCTTGTTTTTGGATGGATCACTGGTTGTTTGGCACAGTCCATGCTTTTAACCAGGTTTGAACAGAAGAATGGCCACCCGACCCAGGTAGAAGTAGACGAAATGTTTGGTTTTATGTGTCCCATAACTACCGAAGTTCCGCCCCACAATGCAGTGCCAGGTGGGGTTGCACTTCTTGTCAAACTCCTTCTTGATAGGGGCCGCAATATCTTTTTCTATGTTGTACTTCTCCAATGCCTGAGTGGCGCCCTCCACCAAGTCCTGTTGCATCTCTTCCGACGTGTCTGCATTTTCGATCACCGCCTTCTGGTCGCACATGGTTGCCGCGGAGCTGGGGCCAGCCGGCTGCTGCGAGCTCCTGAGGAAGGTGCTGGCACCGCTCAGGCAGCCAAGGAGAGCTGGTCGCTACCGAAGCCGTGGCGCATCTGAAATGAGCACTCTTATACAGACTAAATGCACAAACTATAAGGAATCATACTGATGTTTGATGCAAAAGAAAGATTTTTTTTAAATATAACAAAAGGCATCATAAACTATGTGACAGGGGAAGTCGTGTCTGCTGGACTTGTCTGCAATAGGACATTGACAATGGATTGATATTTGGGGGGTATAAAGCACGTTAAAATGTAAACAAGAAAGTCAGTAAAAGATGGCCAAACTGAATAAACAAGGCATTCACATAAAGAAAACCTTGATAAAGATAACTGTAGGAATAAGAATTGCCCAGCCTGTCAGGAATCAATAAAACACACGTAAGACACAATGGGTATTTTATTTCTTTCCTGTAAACTAGCAAAATGTTTTAAAAAGTGACAATAACAGAAGACCAGGGAGCCTGCCCTCTGACCTTCTCAAGGCTCCGTTCCCACAGCAGACCCAGTCCCTCAGCCTCTTCCCTAGCTCTGCAATAGAACACCAGCTGAAAACCCACCCTCCATGTGCATCCTGTGGATACCGCAGCCTGTCCCCTCTGTTCTCCCTCCTCCCACTTGTTGCTCTGACCCAGACCCAACACCAGCAGGCTTCCCCGTGAACACAGTAGCCAAGCAGGCCAGCCAAACAAACAACATACAGTCATCACACTCTAATTTCAGAAAGGGAAAGAGAAACCAAGGAACAAATATACCCACCAAACAAAGAAAGACCCAGAAGTCAGTGGCTAGTCCTATAATCACTTCAAACCCGGATTGCTGTAGAGTATTTCTTTACACTGTGTGAAGATGTGTCGCTGTGATTGGTTTGATGCAATTGGTTTAATTAGCTGAATGGCCAATAGCTAGACAGAAAGAGGTTATGCAGGACTTCTTAGGACAGAGAGGTCTTGGAAAACAAGTAAAGCAGAATCACAAGTTAGCTGTGGAGGAAGAAAGATGGGCAGTAACAGAGTATAGGTAACCGAGCCACATAAAAGAATGTACATTAGGGGGCTAGAGAAATGGATCAGAGGTCAAGAGTACTGGCTGCTCTTCCAGAGGTCCTGAGTTCAATTCCCAGCAACAAAGTGGTGGCTCACAACCATCCATAATGAGATATGGTGCCCTCTTCTGGCTTGCAGTCATACAAGCAGGCAAAACACTATATAAAGAATAAATAAATAAAAAAATAAATAAACTCTTGAAATAAAAAAAAGAATGTACATTAAAAATATAAGTTAATTTAAGTTAGAAGAACTAGTTAGGAACAAGCCTAAACTAAGACCTAGCTTTCACAATTAATAATAAGTCTCCATGTCATTATTTGTGAGCTGGCGACCCAAAGAATAATCTGTCTACACCAGATGCCTAGACACCAGCATAAGAAGATAATCAATAACATTTGGGGCAATATTTTTTCTTTAGAACACAGCTATCCTATCACACAAGGTTCTGACTATTCCAACATAGCTGAAGCACATGAAAAAGACTTTAAAACCAACGTTGTGAAGATCATAGATGTCCTTAAAGAAGAAGTGAATCCCTTAAGAAAATCTAGGAAAACAAACTAACAATTGGAGAAAATGAATGAATCCCTTAAAGAAAGTTAAGAAAAAACAAACAGTTGAAGGAAATGAATAAAACTGTTCAAGACAGAAAAGTGGAAATAGAAGCAATAAAAAAAACCAAAAACTGAGGGAATTCTGAATACGAAAATTTTACGAATTCAAACAGGAACTACAGAGACAAGCTTCACCAATACAAGGGATGGAAGAGAGAATCTCAGACATTGAAGACACATTAGTATCTTCAAGAAATAGATACACTAGTCAAAGTAAACGTTAAATCTAAAAAACTCCTGATACAAAACATGCAGGAAATCTGTAACACTATGAAAAAAAAAACCAAACCTAAGAACAATAAAAAGAGAGGAAGAAGAAACCAAGTTCAAAGGTCCAGAAAACATTTTCAACAAAATCATAGAAGAAAATTTTTCTAACCTAAAAAAGGAGATACCTGTAAAAGTACAAGACGCTATAGAACACCAAAGAGATTAGACCAGAAAAGAAGGTCCTCTTGCCACATAATAATAAAAAACACTAAACATACAGAACAAAGAAAGAATATTAAAAGCTGCAAAGGAAAAACTAAGAAAAGTATAAAGACCTATTATAATAACCTCTGACTTTTTAATGGAGATTCCAGAAGCTAGAAGGGCCTAGACAGATATTCTATGGATGCTAAAAGAACACAGATGAAAGCCCAGACTACTTACTATACCCAGCAAAACTTTCAAGCACCGTAGATGGAAAAAATAATATATTCCATAGAAAGTCAAATTTAATTGATGTCTATCTATAAGTCCAGACCTAGAAGAACTAGAAGAAAAACTCCAACCTAAGGAGGTTACGTATACCCATGAAAACACAGAAAATAATTTTACATAAGTAAAACCAAAAGTTGGAAAGTACATGCATGCCTGCATGCTTGCCCATGCGACATGTGATACACACACACACACACACCACCACCACCACCACCACCACCACCACCAACAACAACAACAACAAAATAGTGGTAATCAACCATTATTGGTCACTGATATCTGTCAATATCATTGGTCTCGATTCCCTAAGAAAAAGACGCAGACTAACAGGATGGGTATGAAAATAGAACCTATCCTTCTGCTGCCTCCAACAAAGACAACCTCCCTCATCAGCCACCCTTACCTCAGGATAAAAAGAAGAGAAAAGAAAATTACAAGCAAATGAACCTAAAACAAGCCGGAGTAACCATTTTAATAGCTAACAAAACAGACTTCCAACCAAAACTAATATAAAAGGAGTGGGAAGGACACTACATACTTATCAAAGGGAAAGTTTGCCATGATATTTCAAGTCTTTACATTTATGCTCCAAACACAAGGGCACCTACTTTTATAAAAGAAACACTATTCAGCTTAAATCACGTATTGACCCATACACACCTATAGGGGGAGGCTTCAGTATCTCATTCTCACCAATCTCATCCAGACAGAAACTAAAGAGAGATATATTGGAGTTAAGAGATGTTGTAAACTAAATGAATCTAACAGATATTTACAGAACATTTCACCCAAAAACAAAAGAAAAAAAAAGATTCCTCTCAGCACCTCATGGAAAGTCCTCCAAAATTGACTGCATACTGGAATACAAAGCAATCTCAATAGACACAAGAAACTTGAACTAATTCCGTGTATCCTATCAGGCCAGCATGGTTTAAAGCTGGATATCAACAACAGTAGAAGCAAAAGGAAGGTTAGAAACTCGCGGAACCCAAACAACTCTCCACTGAATGAAAAATGGTCAAGAGAGAAATGAAGAAATTAAAGACTTTCCAGAATTCAATAAAAATGAATACACAACCTACCCGAAGTTATGGGACACCATGACAGCAGTGCTAAGAGGAAAATTCATCGCACTAAGTGCCTACATAAAACAGTCAGAGAGATCTCATCCTAGCAACTTAACAGCACACCTGAAAGCTCTAGAGCAAAAAGAACAAGCATATCCAAGAGGGGTAGATAGCAGGAAATAATCAAATGGGGGCTTAACTCAATAAAATAGCAACCAAGAGAACAATATAAATAATCAACGAAACAAAGAGTTGATTCATTGAGAAAATCAACAAAATAGACAGACCCTTGTGCAAACTAACTAAAAGATGGAGAGAAGGTATCCAAAGTAACAAAATCAGAAATAAAATGAGGACATAGCAACAGACACAGTGGAAATTCAGAGAATCATAAGAACATACTTTAAAAACCTAGTCTACCAAATTGGAAAACCTAAAAGAAACGGATAATTTTCTTCATAGATATTACTTACCAAAGCTAAATCAAGACCAGATAAACAGTTTAAGTAGATCTATAACCCTCTAGCAAAATAGAAGAAGTCATTAAAAGTCTCTCAATAGCAACAAAACAAAACAAACAAAAATCCCAGGGCTAGAAGGTTTTAGGTGCAAAAATACTCAACAAAATACTTGCAAACTGAACCCAAGACCACATCAAAATGATCATCTACCATGATCAAACAGACTTCATCCCAGAGATTTAGGAATGGTACAAAATACAAAAATCAGTCAATGTAATCCATCATACAAACAAACTGAAAAAAAAATACATGACCATCTCAATAGATGCAGAAAAGGCTTTTTGACAAAATTCAACACCAATTCATGATAAAAATCCTGGAGAGATAAGGGAGACAAAGAACATTGCTCCACAGAATAAAGGAAATTTACAGCAAGGCTATAGCAAACATCAAACTAAATGACGAGAAACTCGAAGCAATTCCACTAAAATCAGGAGCAAGATAAGATTGTCCACTCTTTCTTTCTTTTTTTTTATTATTTTTTTAAAGATTTATTTATTAAGCATACAATGTACTGCTGGCAAGGAAGGCACCAGGTCTCATTACATTACAGATGGTTGTGAGCCACCATGTGGTTGCTGGGAATTGAACTCGGGACCTCTGGAAGAGCAGCTAGTGCCCTTACCCTCTGAGCCATCTCTCCAGCCCCCTGTCCACTCTTTCCATAGCCCTTCAGTATAGTGCTGTAGAAGGGACACATGGATCTCCCTGGGAAGGGAAAATAGAAGGATTCTGCGCATGGGTTGGGAGCAGGTGGGAACAGGAGAATTGAGAATCAAGTGAAAGAAGAGAGTTCGGGGAAAGACAGCTGGATTGGGGGTCATCTGGGGGGTTGTGTGGAAACCTGGTGTAGTAAAAACTTCCTGAAGTCTATGAGGGTGACTTATGAGAACTCCTAATAATGGAGGATACGGAGTCTGAACTGGCTGTCTTTTGTAGACAGGCAAGACTCCCAGTGTTAGGACAGGGTTGTGTTCAGTCCAATTGCTAGCCAAACGGGGTTCTGTGGCAAATGCTAAACAATGCAGGTTGATGGTAGGACAGAGGACTCTCTCTGCAAACTAAGAGTAGGGCCCCACTGTGGGAGACAACAT